TTTCATAAATATAAAGTTAAATTATTCATCCATGAGTTGAGATACATTAGGAGATACAATTAATGTCATGACATGATGAAATAATATAACTTTTATTGTGGGTAACTAGAGTTAAAAAATATTTAAGAATCACCTAAAAATTGACATGTTAATTTCAAGATCATACTTATGACTAATTAAAACATTGGATTAGATAAGTTTATTATATCTAAAGATAGAAGACATATTTAGTAGGAGTATACATAATTTTCTTTTATTAAGAAAATTAAATTGAACATCAATTATGTTTAATAGTCATGGTAGTAACATTCAAATGAGAAATTCACTAAATATATTTAACTGATTATATGAATGTTATTTGAATATGTATCATGTACTTGCTTCTGTAATTCAACGTACAAATGAATGAACATTATTTATATTTTATAACACTTACTATTACTATTTTTAATTTACAAGCCTATTTTATTATGAAGTTTAATATGCTTAATTTTAATGGATGAAATGTGTAAATTTAGTTTTATTTAGGTCTTTTGGTTCTTAATCTAGCACTACTTAAGTCCATTGCTTGCATTGCAACCACTAAACTAAGATAATTCCAGGTGATTTATAGATATCAAATAAACTTAATATTGATGTAAATGATTGTAGCAAATATCATTAAGCCAATAACGATAAAAATTGACAATGTTAATCCATTTGTGAAGTTTATAGAAATTTATGTAAATTATTCTACTAATAGGTCATTAATTTGTTGAGAAATATTGATGAGTAAGATGACAAATGTTATAATAAGATTGATTCTCATAAGAGTGAGAGCTTGTTTGTGCATTTAATTTTACTTAATTTACCTAGGATTATGTCCCATTTTAAATAAACTCCAACATTATAAAGAGTAAATGAAATGTGATAAAATTATAGAGTATACTTAATTAAGGGAAAAATGGTTTAAAAATAAGAATTTTATTTAATTAGTCTTATAAGTCAGCTTGAAGCTAGAGAAATGAAAAGTAATAATAATAATCAGTAAAAATTGTTAAGAAATAAGATATTCATTTGTTTGAAACTAAGAAAATGAAAATTAATAATAGTAATCACTTAAAGTTTAATGAGTCATCTGTTTAAATCTTGAAGAGTAATCAAGTTTAAATACTATCATAAAAATTACCCAATATGTTAGACTTAGTTTTAGAAGAAATATCAGCCTAATGTTTTTATATATTTAAAATCAAATTTAACAAAAAAAATCTTATAATTCTTGGTGGATTGAAGTCAAATGTACCACTTATAGTTTAAATATGATGTACAAATTCTTTACAATCCAAATCACAAAGTAAATTTATTTTCCTTAGAAATTTGGTCGAAGGTTTAGTTAATGCATTCAAAATATATCATTTGATTTTAGATATTGGATATCATTCAAATTTTTTTCAATATATTTATTTTTTTTCTTTTAAGTAAATTTATTTTATCAATATAAATTTTCATATATTTGGATATTATTTTAAAATTTAGCGTTGGATGTTTCAATTTAATCAAGTATGATTGTTTATCAGTTCATTTAGCTTTTTTTTGCGATGATTTATATAAATTAATAGGAGTACAAAATCATGTAATATAAAAATTTAATAAATTTAAATGCAATTTTTTGCCCATTACTTTTACTTGAGCTATTATTCTATGATTTTTAGATTGCTATGGTTGATGAATCAGAAAAGTTAATGTTAAGGCAATCTTTGAAGACTTACATGAAGTACATGCTTGAATAACCATACATCCTATGATGAGATTGTATCCAATAAACCTACGGTTGATGAATCAGAAAAGTTAATGTTAAGGCAATCTCAAGAAATAAGAAAGTCTATTATTTTGAATGGTTATATGGCTTGTCTACAAAAGTAAAAAAATTGACTTAGAAATTAATGAGGATCTAATTTTACTTTCACCAACTATGGTGAGAATTAATTTTACTAAGTGGTTATACACCAATAAAAAGGAGTAGAGTAAATAGAACATAATGAAATCTGAGATATTATGGATTTACTTCAAGGTTCAACAGGAGTTGAGTACATGCTAGTACTCTTTAAAATGAAACATTACTCCAATGATAACATCAAACAATTCAAGTCCATACTTATTACCAATGGTTTTAGTTAGAGGATATTATTGACTACAAAGTAAATTTTTTTTATTTTAAAAAATAATTCAGTGAGAATAATAATGGTTATAATATTTCATTGTGATTTGGAGCAATATCATATGAATGCAAAAATAATTTTTCTATACAAGAATTTAAAGGAAGAAGTTGATGCAGATCAACAGAGGGCTTGTCAATTGAAGTAAGGAATAACATGATGTGTACATTTAAGAAATTTATATACAAAGTTAAATGGAATTCCAAGCAATAATACTTTTAGACAATGTTATTATCACTTCCTTTTAATTAAATAAATGTTAACTATTGTATATATCTAAAGATCTATGGGAACAAGATTATTCTTTTTAGTTGATATGTTAATTATAGGTTGATTGCTACTATTGTTTTTAATTTGTTACAAGAGCCTTGTAAATTTCTCTAATATAGTTTTAAAATGAAAGATATGGGTGATACATCATATATAATAGGAATTACAATCTTCCTTAGTTGATCATAAGGAGAGCTATGGTTATCTTAAAATGCATATATTAAATAAATTTTAAGGAGATTTAAGATTATACAATGCCCAAAGACTGAATTTGAATGCAAGAAAATGAAATAAATTTCTTACGTGTTATTAACAAACCTTGATGTATACTTAGACTTATATTAGGTCAGACATGGGTTTTGCAGTTGGAATATTATGCACATGTCAACATAATTCAAGATTTGATCATTAAAAGCTACAAATAAGGTTTTATGATATTCTACAAAAATATAAAAGATTATATGCTCATTTATTGAAGATTTGAACACTTTAAGGTAATTGAATATCAAGAATAAGAATTTACTAAATGAATGAATATCAAAAAATTACATTTGACTATTTATGATTTTTAACTTGAGGGACAATCACATAAACATGTGCAAAATAGATTATATCATTACATCTAGTATGAATGTTGAGTTTGCAACAAATTTTTTTCGCTAATAATTATAAATTATGGCTATGAAATTTTATTTTAGGGTTTACAGAGTAGATAGGATTATCGAGCTACCAAAATGTGTTAAATGTATAGAATTAAATGCTTTTCCATGAAAGAGAGTCAGTCAAACATGTGAGCTCTAATGTTTTGATTGTGGATCAGCTAACTAAAGTGTTATCATCAAAGATTTTACTAAAATTGTCCAAAAAACGAGCATTACAAAAAATTATTATTATTAATGTGTTTAAGTTTACATTCTTTAGGTATTTGACTCTTTAAACTTTTTTTATTTTTTTGATATATTAATGCATCATATTTTTTTGTGCTAGTGTATATATGAATGAATTATATTGAATATTAACAAAATTGTATTTGATAGAGATATTATCATTGGACTATTACAATTACATCTCATTTGTAGATCAAATTAAATATAAAGCTAATGGTAAAATCTATGTTTTCTCTCTCTAAAATCTCTCCCTTTTTCTATCCATTTGTTAACATGAGATTAAATGATGATGTGAAATGGATGTAGTTATTTATAAAGAATGATGACATTTCCATAAACCGCTTAAACTTTTAACATTATATATATATATATATATATATATATATGTGTGT